GCTACTACAAGATTAGCTCTAAGTTGGTCCATTTTCCCATATAAAGTCTAGTAGCCCTGGTGAACCCAGAGTCACAGGATTCAGCAGGCAGCTTTCCCCCAGCCCAGATGACAACCTCATTATCCATCTTTTGAAATATTTCAGCTGTTGAAGTGATACAATTATGTAACACGTACTTGAGAAAAATAAAACCATCTCTGTTTTTAAAGAGGAATGCTCTGCACCTCCTGCCACCACTTAATTCTCACAATTTCTCCTTTCTCGATAAAGTGTAAACTAGAAAAATATCATGAGTGAAAAATAGTGATGACCAGGAAATACGAAATAGAAACAAAGTGGCAGGTGAGAACAGGGGATAGTGCTACCTTAAAGAGATACCTAAAAATATTCCAGTTCTTCTCATTTAGCAACAATCCTCATATCACATCACAGCATTTTCCATTTTACCTGGAACCACTATCTCTTCATGTGAAAGGGAGCATTAGAACAATCTATTAAAGAAAACAAACATCAATTTAGTGTTTCTGGAACCAGCAACCACAGGAACTGCAGCTGGCAGTCAGTGTGTCACCCACCCATGCCCCAGTGCCCGAAATGGCTGCAGGACTTGTGCTCCCACCACCTCATGGTTTCCATGCACAACAGTTGCTTCTCTGGCATTGCAGATACAGGGGATTCTTTCCAATGGCCAGACTTGAAGAAGTCAGCCCTGAATCAAGGGTTTGTCTCTGCTATAGCTGCAGAGATGTAGCTGCTGTGAGGATGAAGATGTTGCAATGGGTGGTGCCTGCAGCAGTGTGCTCAGCCATGTGCTTGGTGGAAGCACAGAAATGCTAAAGACTAAAATCTGCTGCCACGTATGAGATCTTTGCACAGTTTCTCATACATGGACCTCCTGCAGAGGTATCTAGGCACAGAAGTGCCAGTGTAGACCATGATTTTATGTTACAGCTACTGATAATACCTGGAACTGCTCTTCCAAAAGCTCTAATGCACTGGGAGGCAAGAAGGAATGTGGTTTGGCAGGCAGAGTGGGCCTGATTCAACCAACTGCTTATGTGTCACTGAAATCAATGGTGCTATTTAGGGGCTTAATTGCTTTGCTGAATCCAGGCCAAAGAGACAAAAAGCAAGATGGTTAAGCTGCAAAGCTTGGATATATATCTTAAATCTTGAACACTTACATCCTTTATCGATATTATGATTCTCCCCAATAATTAATAGTTGTTCAGAAAAGTTTCAAACAAAACACATGCCTTACTTTTTGGCCCTGATTTAGCAAACATTTTTTTGTACCATTATTCATGTAGATGGTGCCATTTTCTTAAGAACAGAAAGACACAAGTGAAGTGCCACAACAAGCTGTTTTTTGCAGGTCAGAGCTGTATTTAATATCTACAGCATTTAAGCATTCCTACCAAGGTTATACAACTGCTAGAGACATCTGGACCTAATACTGAAATGTTCCTATTGCAATCTGTGTGTGCGTGAATATTCTTGTGCCAAAATATTTATTTAAAACTGTCTTTAAAAGAAAGAACAATAAGTTCAAGGAGTTATAATTCTTTTCAGTTGTTTTTCTTTCAATAACAAACACACCTCAGACAAATAAAAATGAACTGCTTCAATACCAGTGTTTAAATAATGCTTTTACTCACTGGTTAGTCAGTATCCATAAAGAATGGCTGCATTTGCCCTAATTAACGTCCCATTTCCAGGAAAGGCTTTAATTAACATCTGACATTTAAGCAGCACTACAATGTGGTGTGCAATTATCACCTGGCCTACTTTGGTGTGATTCAAATGCTCTTGGAGAAAAAGATGCTATTTTTTTCTCTGAAAGCTTTCTAGAATGGAATAGCAACAGAGACCTATGGAAATGAAGGAAAGAAAGCCAGATCTTCAAAGAGATTTAGGGTGGAGTTTTCCAGTACAATTTCTAGCCATCCCAGTGGCTGGTTTCCCCCCCAAAAAAGGGGGACCCACTCAGCTTTGCCCTGGGCCATGCATTTCTAACCCACTTCCTCTCCCCAAACTGGCAAAGCCCTGAGTGCCATTGGGAGAGTCAGAACTAATAATACAATTGAGCCCATTTGATAACTCAATGCTGCTAAAACAGGATGGTCTTCCTCCTCTAGTTTCCTTCATCTTTTTCCCCTGCTTTGTGTCCCCCAGGCTCCACCTGAAGCAAGCCAAGCTGGCTCAACTCCTTAGCCCTGGGATCAAAAGAAAAACTAGTTGCTGTGCTAAAGCAGTTTCCTGACAATTCAGTGAGTTCAGCTGGCTCACCCTTGGTTCTCAATCCCAGGATGGAGAAGGGAGAAATGTGGGACAACCACCCCCCAGTGGAAGTGGGCTGGAATATTGTCTTGTGAAATCAAATCTTATCTTGTGTAGGATGGTACACCACACACAAGCATGTTTTTGTACAGTATGTATTTTCCATCAGAAAATTAGTGTCTAATCAAATGACAGTGTTGGTGAAGTGAAAGGTAAGAGCACGTGGCAGGGACCTGATGGCCCTTTTGGTTGGTCTGAGGCCACTCTTCCCACAGTGAGCTGTAACCAGGGAGAAGACTTTGTAAAGCAAGAACATACTTTACGCTACCTATTCAAGTTGCTTTATATGGCATGGAAACATGAAACAGGCTAGGGTGGAAAAGACTTCCAAGGGCATAGACTTATACACTAACTCAAGTAGCTATTAATGTTTAAATACCCAGTATTTGCTGGGTCACTGAGAATGTGAGCAAGCAGCAAGCTGTGGCCATGCTGAACCTCTCTCCCACTTTCTGGCCTGATGAATATTTCATTATGCTATGTCTAGAGAAACAGCATTTGGCAAGGGGGGCAGGGCTCTTTTCCCTCAACTTCAAGAATACACCACAGCTCCTCATCAGAGCACCTTCCCCAGAGAAATGAGCTGGTTTGCTTTGGCAAAAGGGGGCCTGGGTGACACTTCCCATGCTGTGCTGCAGAGGCAGGTGTTCCTTTACCTCATCTTCCAGCCATGCCTTGCTGGAGCTCAGAGTCAGCTCTGCAGGAGGAGATTCTTAAACAACATGGACAGAGAAGATAAAATCAACTCATTGTGATAGGATGGGTGCACAGCTACCTGGGAAGAGCTGAGCCCTTTGCAGACACATCCAGGATGAGAAATAACACACTGGCAACTCTGGTGCATGAAGTGGAGGATGGGCTCACATACAAGTACTGAGGTACTAATGGTGACTGCCCTATTCCCAGCCAACCCCTGCCTAACAAAATCAAACCAAATGTAACTTGGCACATGGGGCTGCATTTAGAAAGCTGCAGCAGCTCTGGAATATTTCAGGTATGTGCAGTGAGGACAGGAGAGACAGCTGGGGTGGTAGTCTTGTTAGCTAACCTGATATAAATTGTCTCTTCCAATGAATCACAGCTGTCAGGCACCAATGGGAGTTGGAAGCCTCTAGAGTGAGGCTGTAAGGAGAAACTGAATATCATTATTTTGGATCCATAAAACGAAATTTTAGAAATATTTCAGAAATTTAGGAATAGAACGCATGTGTCCACCTTTTTATGTGGTCTTTGGAGTATATGCTACACCATCCTTTAGCCTACCACACTTCCACACAGAGCTGATGATATTTGCCTCCGAAAAATTACAGACAAGGGACCCTTTATGAACTGACTGTGGGTTAATGTGTTGGTTAGTATCCAATAATTCCTGAGATCTAAGCCCAGATCTGTCATCTATCTGTTCCATTGCTCTGAAAGGAGTTCATAAAAATAGCATCCAGGAGTTCTGTATCTATTGGAATTCAATATTTCAGTCTGGCAGCCTTGAAACCAAGAGTGAAGCACTGCTCTTTTAGGCAGTACATTGTTGCCAGCTTCTGGGTCAGCAACAGGGAATGGGCACATTCTGTATAACTAAAGTGGTGACCTGACTCTCCTTGGTCAGTACTGCTTCAGCAATGCAAGGAGAATGTATTATTGAAGTCAGTGGAATTATTTGCAAGAATAAGTGACTTTGCAGGATTCTACATTTTTTTCTCTTTCTTTTTCTCTCTTATTGTATGGTCAAACATCCAGGGGGCTAGTCATGATCCTGCTGAAAGTTACAGCCTGTCTGGTCTTTAATGTCTGTTTTTAAAGATGATCCCATCCACTTGTTCATTTTCCTACAGTCCTCATTCTTCACGCTGAGTGTGTCCTAGTCTTTTCCTCATGTCCTATATGACGCAAGGCAATAAAACCAAAAATGATGCAAACTGGTTTATGGATCTGCCGGTCCGGCTTGTGCTACTTCCACGAAGCGCTGCTAGGTGGCAATATGTCACCTGGAAAACCACGAGCTTCCAGCCGCCGTCGCCTTCCTCTGCTTCCGACCGAGCTGGGACGTGCCTGGGCATCGCGACGCTCCGAAAGGGGACAAGCCCTTGGAGCGGGACCTGGTGAGAGCTGCTGCGCTCACACAGATGTTTACTGAGGTTTTCCAGACACAAGTGCAGGGCTCAATCCTACTGGAAAAAATTTTTGTGAACCCAAGAGGAAAAATAAGAGGCAAGCCTGCTTGTTGCAGAGAGTGTTGTAAAAGGAAATGTATCTTCTATTGTATAAAGATAGCACTGCCTGGGACTAGACTATTTCATATTCTCGATTCTCTGAACAAGACAAAGTTGAAACTATCTGTTCAGTGTGAAAAGCGTTCGTTTTCTCCACATAAATAATTCATTGAAATTCCCTACATATTCAATCATATTTTTTAATGAACTAGGCCAATTTTGGAACATTTGTGTTGACAGTTGGGTTGAAAAACAGCTTTAATAAAGATGGAGAAGATGTATTTCCAGATACATATTTCAGCCATGGTACAAATACTTAAAATTGAGTCATCTTATGTATATGTCTCAACAAGGACATGGACAGATAAGCTCATATTTGCATAATGTTTAGAATATGCAAAACACTAAGTAATCTTCATTGAAACCATTTATTTCCCTTGATCTGGCTGCTGGCGAAACCGATGGGCACGGCTGTGTGTGACAGTGCCATTTTATGCCAGCCTCAAGTTTACACAATTACAGTTTGATGCCAGGGCAGTTTGCGGCTTGCTCAGCACTTTGGACCAGATGCCAGAGCTGGGTGCAGGTGAGCGGCACCTGGAGCCGGAGAGACACAGCGGCCAGGAGCAGCACAGCTGGAAAGAGCTCCCACGTAGGCTGACAGGTAAAATAGATGGATGTGGAAGTGGGGAGCCCAGGTCTCTCCTTGTGGTGACATGGACAGGGAGCTACCATCTCTCCTGCCTGCCGCGCAGCCCCAGGCACAGCAAGTGGTGCCCCGCCTGGAGCTCCAGGCTGGATGCTCCCGGCAGCATCCGTATCCTCACCTGAACCACCTGAGGAGAGACCTCGTCCTGAGCCAGCGGAGAAAGGAGAATCTTTAATTACCCTGGCTTGGATAGAAACACAGGGATTGGTTTTCAGGGATAGGAGCGATCGGTGCAGAAAACAACAATAATGACGACCTGCTTATATAGTATTTAGCAACCTCGGAGCTGACAAGTATGGTCTGCTTCAAAACTGCTCAAATTCAGGCAGAATTTGCTGCTTGCGGTCACGCCTCTATGGATGCGGTATGAAGCCCTTCCCTGCTGGCCCGAGTCACCCCCCAGCTCCCGAGGGCTCGGCAGGCTTTTAATGCCCTGGCTCGGCGCGGGGCTGCCCCGACCCCGCAGCGGCTCCCGGGGCGCGGGCGGCGGCGGCCCGGCCCGGAGGCCGCGGCCGCGGTTCCCGGCGGGGCGCTTTCCCCGCGGCACCGCCCGCCTCCGCTGCTCGCCGGCCCGGCCCGGTCCGCGCCGGGCCAGGTCAGTGTCCGCCCGCCCGCGGCCGCGGGGGAAGGGGCCTCTGCCGGGGAACCGGGCTGGAACCGGGCTGGAACCGGGCTGGAACCGGGCTGCCGAGGCGGCGCGGGCCCGGCCGCCCGGCGCGGGGCAGGCTCGCGGCGCCCGCGGCAGAGGCGAGGCGGCTTCGGCGGTGCCGGAGAGGCCGGCGGTGCTTCTGCTTAGCCCTGACGCCTCGGGTCTCGCCGTGCGACCAGCCGGTCACCGCCCACTTCGGCCCTGCTCGGCACTGAGCCCTGCCTTGACGGTTGAGTTAACATGAGTAATTTGGTAAAAAAAAAAAAGGAAGTGTCAGAAAAGCTTCCCTGGGTCAGACCACGTGCAACAGCGCGCTGGTCGGGATTTTGGCATCGCGGGTCAGCAGCAAGAAATGTCCGCTGGGGACGTAGCTTCCACCCCTCGGTCCCTTGAGTCTTCACAGTCTTGCCAGGGTGACACCGTGCAGGGAGGTTGCAGTTGCTTCCCGGAATTCGGTGTGTGGAGCCAAGGAAGCAGGTGACAGGCAGTCCCGGTGTGGTGCTGCTAGTTCCCACTGCTGTTTCAGGGTAGCAGGAGAATCGTGGCTGTGCGGCCGGTTCAGACCTCGGTATATGGTTTTTTTGGTGTTGCTATCGGCAGAAGCACTTGTGGGTGGTGGTAAGGGGAGAATAGTAAAGAACAGTTAATTAAGTGGAATTCAGAAGACTTCTTGACGACAAAAGTTACACTTTTCAGGGCAACCATTGGGGAAGCATCAGTATTTGTGGTTACACCTAGAATTGAATTCATGTGTTTATGGTTCAGGACTTGGTGACTGAAAGACAAATAGTGGGTTGGTTGTGCTTGTTGCCATTCCTGTGAAGTTGTGCATCTGCTCTTCTTAATGGTCTCTAAAACACACCTAGTGGGCAGTGAACTTAAAAGAGTTTTCTGCAATTGTTATAAAAGTTCTTTGATGACAGGTGTGAAGAGAACTTCTGAGGATCAAAGCATTAAAAAATAAAGGGGGGCCCAAGTGCTTTTTGCAGAAAATAACAGATTCTTGCCCTCTGCTGTGAAACTCAAAATCTTTAACTCACCATGGGACCAAAATAAAATATTTTTAGGTAGTGTCATCTGAATTTATGGAAATGCTTCCTTTGTCACTTGTTTTGCATAATTAAATGTAATTATTTTTCTGTGGACTTCAGTATGTTTCTTTGTGATTTGTTTACTATTCTTCAAAAGAATATGTGATTAAGAGAGAATGTAATTGTTTAGGGATAGAAGGACAATTGACATCTAAACTCTAGCCTACAGGGATCATTAAAAAACACAAAACTACATAATTTGGAAAGCCATAACTTGCTGTGCTCAGAAACAATGAAAATAGCAAGAAAAAAGGAGATAAAAGCAGAAATGAGGTATAAATGGTCAGCCTGCTTGAAACTGAAGCTAAAGACAAAGGTTTTTTTACTTACAGTGTTAAAAGGTTTTTCTTCCCCCAGTTAATTTTTATTTCCTATGTACATTATTTGATGCCATTTCAGTTAGTTAATTTGGACATGTTCTCACTTCTTGTTCTTTCAGCTTTGTATGGATAAACTTTGTTTTTAATGCTAGCATCTAGAAAGTAGAAGGCCCAAATCTTTTGTTCTCTCAGCAGTAATACAGAGGCTAAAGAATTGTCCTTTAAAATACCAGCTACTTTTAAAACCCATTTTTAGAGGAGTCATAAGGCTTTTAAAGTAACTTGCTGAACTGGAGGGACCGTTGATCTCATCTAATTTGTCTACAGTGCAGGTACCAGAGACAGTGTACTAAAAATTTGAGCAGGGCTGAGCAAGTTTGAGAGCCATGACATTTGGAGAAGGGCATGACGGATCAGTCCACTAGTTGGGGAGGTAGAATCTCCTCAGCTCTCCAGCTTTGTTTAGTTTCTGTATTTGCAAATTATGTTTTGTTAGTAGGTTTTCTGCAGTTGATCCCTTAGCATGCTTATGATCTGCTTGCTCTGAGCATTGAGAAAGCCAGCTGGAAAAGAGACTGTCCTCAGCTTTCTTCATCTGGTAATTATTAGAGCAGGAGAACCTGTTGGACAAGGTGTTTAAGTTAACCTAACCCACGCATCATGGAAGGAAAGTAGGGGGATGGATTAAGTGGATGAGGTAGGTAGAGGGCTCTGTAACCTTGAGGTGAGAGGTGGTGACAAGCAACTGGCAACAGAGGAATCCTGTGTGTAAATCCTCCCTACTACACCTTTCTTGTGTCTGAAGGCAGGGTCTAGACTCTTCACTGTGAGACCAAGCTGGCCTCCTTTTGTTTTTGAATCTTTGAATCTCTTCTCTTTGTCCTACACCATAATTTATTTTCTTTTTTTTATTGTATATAATAACCCACCAGCCCACTGCCCGTGGTTACTGTCAGTTGTTGTTATTTTCACTAATTTTCAACCTACTTTTT